CTTTTCGTCAGATTATTCTCAATTATTTTAGTGGCGGTTTTGACCCTGTACGTCATACTTTTCCTGTTAACAATAAAATTATATCAGTAGTCTAGCTAACTCCATTCGGTTGAAAGTTTTCAATTGAAGTACGTGACTTCCGATCCAAACCGAAAGTTCACATATAGTTAATCCTGCATTTCCTGCCCTAAGCTTTTCATATTTGGTCTTGATTTTCATCTAATTAACTGATTTGTCGCGATTAAGAAAAGACGTACAGTCAAAGGGATGACAGTGAAAATTTAAAGGTCTACAATTTTTTTCAAATTGTAGCCCAATAATTTTTCTATGTATGCGATATTTACAAGAACATTCTTCCCATGTAGTTTATACAATCTGTTGCATAGGTTTAAACATTTTATTATTACATAAAAGGAATTTTTATCGCATTTTTACAATATATTGCTTCTTAGAGTTAACATTAGACGATATTATATCTGAAAATTTAAGATATAATTTCAATTCCTGTGTACTTGAACATTGAATTTGTGCCATTTCGTACTATCCGAGTATCGCGATAAACGAAATATTGGCCGAAATAACCAAACACTTTATACGGTTTTAATTTTTGTTACATTATACTATTTATATATAACTACAAAAAAATCTTACGTGAGGTTCATCATACCGACTGATCCAATCATTATAAAATTCTTTATTCCTCTACTGTACGCAATTTAAACAATTTTTAAATTGTGTTAAATTAGTCACTCGGTGTGATAACCCTTACGTAAGATAACCTTTGTAGTTATATAAACCAAATACTATACTCTAATAGAAGAGTTAGAAGTACAAAATACTTTAATACAGTACAGTAGACCCCTATAAAACGGGTTCATATAATACAGATTCGTATATAACGGCGAAAAAATGGCGATCGTATTTGTATAAACAAGCTAAAAGAAACTCTTATAATGCGGTAAAACGTCATCCCCGATTCGTGTCGCGACAGGATTGGTCGAATATAGACCAATAGCGGATATTGCACAGACCGTTGAGTTTAAATAAGCAGCGGACCTACTAAAACCATTTATTATTTAATTAACGGCCATAAAAATTAAATTTATATTAATGATGTCTCCAAAGTTCAGCGAATTTTTGACAGAAAAATAACTTATAGGGAAACACGCGCCCGCCGTTCGATGCGCCACTCCGCGACGAAAACAAGCTTAAGCAATGGCGTCGTCGAACGGTGCACACTCGGTAAGTAATCCTACAATTTTTTGTTTATAGCATAGTTTATATGGATTATTCCTAAAAAGTTATACGTGTTTTGGAAATGTTAAGTCAAATTAGTCTAGAATCGATTAATTTTATGGAAGAAAACCTTTCAAACAGCCGTAGTCTCTAAACTGCATACGTGCCGGGCTGTGATTGTCTCATGTACGGTATTTAACTGACTCGTAAAACATGGAATTCATATAACACGGAACGTATCTACCGTGTTATACGGGGGTCTACTGTATTTACCTAAATTACAGTGTGTGCAAACCTGCCAAACAAGAAAACTATTCAGTGCGGTGCCAAAAAGTGCCACAGATGGAATGTTAGTAATATTTACCATTTGTATGCAATATATACAAGAGATATTTTTTTATGCAGCGGCAAAATTAATATTATCATTTAAACTATAATCCACAACCACAGTGCATTTATCTTATAGTAAATTATATTACAGGCAGACACAGTGAACACTGTCTAACTATGAAGAGTGAATGGTGATTGAAATTAATGAATAATTATTTAGATATAAAATTCGTGTAATTTGTCTTTAGTTTTAGTCTTTTGTCTTCTAGTTTCCATTTATGTATTTTAAAACAGCTTATTGGGCTGCAATTTGAAAAAGCTCTTGACCTATGAATTGCCACTAACGTCTGCCTGTCTTTCCTTACTGTCGATAACGGAGTTAAACAGACGAAAGACGTGACCAGATATGGAACACTTGGAGACTGGAGAATTATGTACATACTTCCGATGAAAACTTAACGTTTCTGTATTTCAATTGCAATTTTTTTCCCGGATAGGTGTTGGGTAAACGATTAGTAAGACTGTATTGTTAAAGGAAAAGTATGATGTAGAGGGTCCAGGCACTACTAATTTGATGTGGAGAGCATATATAGATATATTCTTTAAATTAAATAAATAAAAAATATGATTAAAAATTGCTGATGTCACAATAAATACAGTATTTACTTCTTAAAAGTAGGATTTCTCTACTATTTGCGCTTAGGAAAAAGATCTTTGAATAATGCCTGGCTCCTACTATTTTTCCACTGTTTTACTTATCTTTCGCTTCTTTTTCTTCTTTTAATTCACATTCTTTCTGTTTTTCTCCTTCATTTAAATTCTACTTTAAACTAAATCTTCTACATAAAAGTCATATACCTTTTATTTATGAAGATTTCGTTGTCATCAAATTAATTTAATAAAATTTTAAACTTTATACAATTCTTTTAAAGTAATTTCATATAAACAGATCCTTTGCAAATAAAAAATAAAATTATAATGTTATAATCGTTGAAATAAAATATACTTCCGTATTCCTTACCTATATCAATGCACATAACTTATTGTATGCTAATATAGAGACATAAATTAATAAAATTTAATAAATTGAGTAAATTTTACATAGTCATTCTTGAATTTCAATTACAATTAATGATATATGTCACGTATAAGAATATTTTGTCTTGTCTCATGTACAGTTATTAAAATTTATATAATTTTTATGTTATTTATGACAATTTTAGAGGAATGTTTTATTATTAAAGAAATTAAAGATCCTTGTCATATTACATTGTGTATATATGCTTCCTCAGCCTTCACTTGGAAGCACATTCATGGTGTAGGACCATATTAGGAATAACATCAAAAATGGTAAATTTAGGAGTACTCGCCTTTCTGCTGATCTTTACTATTCTTATTGTAGCGCATGGTAAGAAATTTTAAGTAAATTACAGACTGGTCATATTTAATTAAGAATATAAAGCTTTTTGCTTTTGGTTTAATGGGTAAAAGCTACGTGGCCCGAAACCTAGACCGGTTGGTCGTGGTCGTTGTTTTATCGAGATGACAATTAGGTTTTATACGGAAAATAAAATAATCATTAATGGATTATTTATATTTCCATTTTAATAATTGAATTTTTAACGCTAGCCATCAGCATATTATACTTTATCACAGATTATGCCCATTACAGATTGGCCTGACCCTTAATGGAATCGATTAATATGGGCGAAAGGATAAGAAACGATGCTGTACAATGATCAGTTATGTCCATGTAATTATGTAGAATCGTCGTAATAAATTATATACGCATCTGAAAGTTTTTCTTTTTCCATGGTGATGCGATTTCGAATCCATATTTCACAGCGGTAATATTGTATATTAATTTAAAGAATATTTTTTTTACTTAATTTCAGCACTTTTTGATTTTTTTATTTAAATTATTTTAAATGTTATTACAGTATAAATAATTCTTCGTTAATTCTGTGTGTGTGTGTGTGTGTATTTTTTTTTTAATCCTCCGGACTCAGACCCACAATTCCAGGGCCTTCTGCTGAACACAATTGAAATACAAGCGCTTAATAAATTGTTACTTACGGGTTAAAAAGTAGAACTTTTATTATATAATTAAAGAAATAACTGAATAAGTGAATACAGGCTGAATCACGCCTACGTCAATCTTTACATTTAGTATTTGAGCGTAATTTTTCGTTCACTTTTCTTACCCTGTACATTCTTACGCCAGTTATTCAGTGTACTGTTAGAACGTATAATGTGCATTGTTTATTCTTATCATAGGTTTTTGTACGAATACAAAGAGATCGACTAAACGTGGTTCAATATATACTAATGATGAGTCGAATAAATTTTTCGGGAGAGAGATGATGTTTTAAAAATTTTATTTATATTTAATTATTTTCTTCATATTGTTTTTTCTAGAAACTACAGATTATCTATTATGTGCATGCAGATACGATTTGTATAATAGAATAGTGACAGCATGCAAGGAAAAACTTGAAAAATGGGGTTGTAAGTTCATTTATCTTTCCTCTATGATATAAATAAATTTTCGATTAATTTATTGACTTTTTAACGTAATATTACAAACAGTTCCTATCGTCTATATAACTTTGCAATCTTCGATGGAGAAATTGGAAGAAAGTTACACGATAAATGCTGTCTGGACAAATGCTTTAATTCAAATTTAAATGAAGATGCCGTGTGTAAACTTCTCACACCTTCTTCTTCAATTAAATAATAAAAGTCATGCATAATTAAAATAAAAATGTAAATTAATTTACATAATAAAAATATACAAAACAGTGCATTATATTGTAAATATTTCAGTTATTTCGGTGTAATTTTGATCTTATTTAATAGCATAAATCGATTAGATAAAAACATTAAACACTGGAAGTTTGTTAGTGGTGGATTCGCCTCTCTACTGTGGGCTGGCCTTATGAAGGTTTTTCTTGTTTTCTACACGTCTGTAACGCCTAAATAGGGTATTTTACCCTTAAAAAGACCTCCCGGAAGACATTTCTCGTAGACAGATTGCACAATTGTCACGTTGCCATAATTTAACCAAACAAACCGGTCCAGTCCGGAAGTTCGTGATATCGGGTGCAAAGTTTTCCACATCTAGTCTGGATTTTTTTATTTATATTACTTTCTAATGACGTACAGCCGCAATGGTAATCTATAGATTTGTCATTTCAATATTGCAGCCTAATAATAAATATTCTCATAGCTAACACGATATTTTCTATATACAGGTATACGTATTTTCAAGAACAGTTTTTAAATTGTTTAAAAGTTATAATTTAACTTATTTGGTAATGTTCTGGAATGTTATATTACACGGGAAGTTCTCGAATGGTATTTGTATAATTTGATGTGATCGAAGTCCACATAAGTCATAATTTGCAATGTGAATTTGTCAACGACGAAGATTTGTTACGAGAGGAGGAAAAAAGAACAATGGTTTTACAGAATTCGTGGAAATTTTTCTTTATTTTATCGGTTTTTTCGCTTCTATATATAACACACGGTAAGAATATATTTAAGTAACGTATAAATTTCTAAGAATACTTATAATCAGTTATATGTAACGTAATGTTACCGATACTTTCTCGTTTGTTACAATTAATTAATTAAGTGGTAGTAGAACTTGATTGAGCGTTTAGAGTATATTCGAAATACAGTAGACTGTCGTTAATTCGAACTCAGAGGGACGGCCTAAACAGTTTGGATTAAAAGGAGACCATTTTTGGATACTGCAGAAGAAAAATAGGTGAACTGAACAAGACACTTGGCAAGCAGATTAATGCTTAAGCAATGAGAGATACAAAACAAAGATATAGTAGTGAAATTCAATGGAATAAACGAACAAAATCACGACGAGCAAGCGCGCCACAGGGCCACAGTAAACGTGCCAACTGATTTAAAATGTTTTTAAATTGTAATTTATTTATTGTATTTTTTAGAAATTAATTTATTAAGTTTAAATTTGATCATTAGATTTCAAAAGTAGGAAGAAAATGTTAATCTACTAACACGCGCTCTTAATTCTAATAAAGAGGATTGAACACAGTCGAGTTCGAATTAACGAGTGAATTTTACATTGATTTAAATAGGAGTAACACGAGGACTAACGTCCAGTTAAAATTAGAAGGAAATTCGAATTACCCGAGTTCGAATTAACAACAAAATTAGCGCCAATCGGTGGTATTAAACCTATCGAACACCGCGGGTTCGCTCTTGACCTATGGGTTGATAGCGTGCTGTTTTCCGGGTTTTCTTTGATGTCTAACGCCTAAATAGAAACCAGTTTTGCATAGAAAGTTTTTCCGGAAGATATATTCCCCTTTGGCAGATCGCCTGTGTTGCGTTGCCTTAATCCATACATGTGCATTCATGAGCTTGGAGATCATCCACGAGCATTGGTTCTTCTGCCTTTTTTGACGTGATGCTGTCGGTTTATAGCATCTATTTTTCTCTTTATGCACTTGAAATTACACAAATTTATTATCTAAACTTCAAAATCAAAATTTTCTTATACACGTGTGGACCCTAGGGATATAGTTGTGGTTTTCTTCTGTCTTGTTGGTCCTGCGTGATTCAGTTGAAGAACACATGCAATATATCATATTTTATGACTTATAGGTGCATGTGAAGATGAATTTATGTGTCTACTACCTTTAATAATGACTTTATGCATAAGTTTGGGTGTTTGAAAATGACATATCATTGGAATTTAACTAAAATATGAAGTAACATTTAACATATTTCTTACTTAATATGGCATATTAAATAAAGTATAACAGTAATTTAATTCTACTTTTTAGAATACCAATGCCAACAAATGCAAGCTTGTGGACGTCGTCTGTACAATACGTTATTTTATGTCTGCGTGGGCCAAATTAGTCGATGGAGGCGTAAGTAACTTTAATATATTCTGTCATTAAATCACAGATAATACTTTATTTTCAAACATAATGATTTTTTTATATAATTATGTAGTTGATCACGTTCGTCCGTACGAAAAAAGGATTCTTCACTAGAGGAAGTGGATACGATTTAGTCTGTATGTGCTGTTGGAATGCGTGCAATCACTCAGTATTAAGTAACTATGAAAATTGCAAGCTTCTCATACCTCTATTTGCAAAAAACCAGGAATATTAAAAAAAGCCTATAAAGTTACTTGATTGTAAACATAAATTTTTATTAATGATCTATAAAATTAAATTGTTCAGTAAAAATGATAATATTTTGTAATTTTAACGTAATAAATCAAATAATAATTATATCATAGCCAAAACTATTGTTTGATATCAGTGATTTATTATCGAATTCGACAGAAATTTGTGTAACCAATAACTGTGTGGATAACACCATTGAACACTAGTCACTGGCACGCGAGTACATGAAGTTTTCGCGGGTTTTCTTCATGTGTGTGATACCTAAATGAAGACGTTTCTCGTAGAAAGTCTTCCTGACAAGCACCCACTTGGCTCCCTAAAGCATGGAGTTTAATGTAATTTTAAACAGAAATACAAAGAAGATAATCCAAATTATTTTAATTAAGAATTTTACAATTAGGCGAAATAAACAGATGTTGTATATAATTTTTGGATTTTCATTTATAGATCGATGTCAACACCTTCGGGAATGAGGAGTTCACACTTTTTATATCCATACAATACTGGATAATCGCATTTGTTCTCGCAACACATTTCTACGAGTTGAGGTCCTCTACCTATTGTGAAAAAGTCATCATCGTATGGACGATATGAAGTGACTATGTAATTAAAAAAATAGCAATTTACGTACCATACGCTTTAGCATATCGAAATTAAAAAGTGAATCTATACAAGAAGTAAAATTTACGTACGATTCCATGATCTAAGTGTTGGAAGACATGCTTGAACCAACCATGTGTATAGTTCGTGCCCACATGCTTGAACTTTGCCAACAGGACATCCTATAAAAAAACAATAGTATCTTAAAATTAATGTAATTTATAATAAATTTACAAGCTAAAATACCATATTTATGTTTATAATACTTCAAACAATTAGAATAAAATTGCCGTAAGGATATGGATTCGAACTCGGATCTTCATGGCTGTAGGATAACATGAAAATGCTTAGCAGTGTTTCTACATAATAATAGGAACACAAGTAATCTTGAGTAGTACGAAATTGAGCATCATTTCTCACTCCTCATCCATACTAATTAAGGGTTGTAATAGGCGTAAATTGTGATTAATCATACATCATATAACACGTTGATGCCTCGCGTTAATTAATTAATTATTCAAATAGAAATATAAAAAATCCATTAAATTAACAATTATTTTATTTTCCTATAAAAACAAATGCCATCTCTTGGTAAAACCACGATCACGAAATCGTGGACTCAATCCTCGAGGAAGAGTTTCCCCTGAAAAATCCGAGAAACTCCCGGGTTTTCTTCACTTGGCTAACATCTAAATAGAATTTAGGTGTTAGCTAAATGAAGAAGACTTTTTAAAGGAACAATTTTCCATAGAAAGTCTCCCTGGGAGGCATCACACTTGGCAAATTGCCATCGTGTTGCATTGCCGCATGCCATTAAGTTACAATCACAAACCTTCATAATCTTATATTAAGTATGCCTAGTCTGTAATTTAGTTAAAAATTTCTTACCGTGAGGTACAATTAAAATGGTACAGATGAACAGAAATAAGAAGAGTTCTCTCGAATTTACCATTTCTTTTTTCATTGCTAAACGTTGAGATTTACATTATGAATGTGCTTCTAAGTGAAAGCTCAGGAAGAGTCTTCTATATATATATATGTATATATTAATTAATAACTGTAAAGGAAGCAAAAGCAATATATTCTTATACGTGACAAATATCGATAATCATAACTTATGTTTAAGAATTAATGCGTAAAGTTTATTAAATATTACTGATTTATTTCTTTATATTAATATTTTCCTCTTTTAATCTCGAAAATGGAGTTAGGTAAATCACAAACGAGACAAGATAGGAAAAACTTAGGGAACAGGAGAATAGGGGGTGTGTTAGGTGGGTTTGTTGGCATCTATTTCGCTTAATATCTCATGATGGAGTAAAGATTATGTGACGAAATTTGGCACGGTAGCTTATATATGAGGGACATCGAAGCTATTAAATTTTGGTGATTAATGAACAAAGTTATGGAAAGATAAAGACACTCGTGTGTATCTCGTAATAACGAGTTAACTCCTTATTAGCATTTAAAATTTTTTATAAAACCAATCCCTACTATCAAAATTTACTTTATTGTCATCTTATAATAGTTAAAAATATAAAGGGTGGCAAGAGTAACAATTCCATGTGACTATTCGTTAATTAACGAAGCGTCAACCCACTATCAAATACTGATTTTAAGTGATTTTATCCTCTCAGACATCGGTAGTCACTTGCAATTTGAAAGTGACGATTACAAAAGTTTAACAATCGGTAAAATGAGCATATTTTAAAATAGAGTTTCCTAAACATTCTACTTTTCTATCGAGGATTAGGCCTACATATGAGTAATCTTAAAACAGAACACGTTTTACTATACCATGTGATAAAAAAGGTATCGGAATGGTTCAATAAAAAAACAAGATTTGAATTTATTCATATCTTGGCCAGCCAGAGAAAATTTCGGATGCACAACACCACGACAATCGAAGAAAAAAGTCAACGTTTTCGGAATGACTTGCCTCACGCCCGAATGATTTCCAGAATTGCTCGACAAGAACCAAAATTTATTGCAGCATGACTAATTGTTTAATGTCCATCATCGTGCACCAAGTGAGGTATTGTTCATCAGTCGAAATGGATGATCTACAAAAGCACGGTACGTCTTTCACGCGTTCTCTCTGCCTTCTTCCAACAACTCGTACCACTCAAAACCTCATGATTCTAATAGAAAATCGTTAACAAAGGCTTTTCGAAAGGCCACTGACTGTAAACATAAAAATTGACGTTGATTTATGATTCAAACTCGGCACCTCTTTTAAGATTTTGTTTTCGGCTTAGTATTATGGGATATGGTAGCGCAACACACGGACAGTCAGCAAGGAAAAACGTCTCACGGGTAAAGTTTCAATATGAAACTGATCATCGTTTAGGTGTGAGACACCTCAGAAAATTCAATGTGTTAACGTTCTTGGGTAGGTGTTCAGAGCTTTCATAAACTAGGACACTAGTTGGTGGAGTCAGTTTTCAGCTAGCTTTATTAATACATATATAAAACAGATATACATAAATTACATTACTCAATACAGAGTATCAAATGTAATTTTCGTTTTCGACGTTTAAATCTTTGTGTATGGCGCATACGCATGTATAGTTAGTTTCGCCGAACCTTAGAAGACACGCTCCAAACCAATAGTTCAAATATCCACAACTATCAAGACAGTCGTTTACAGTAAAATTTCCAACGCAAGAAGCAATATACTTGACGTATAATTCATCCAAATCACCTGAAAGGAATATAAAAGTTATAAATATTAATGCAAATTTAATTAGCACCGTAATTACACACGAATGTTTATTGATTTATTTGGGCTATATACCTCAGGGAAAAACTTTATCGGAAAACTTGCCAGTATTTTACAAACGTGAAGCAAACACAGAAAACTCCGCCTGTCAGGCTGTCAGAGAGAGGCGAATCCATCATCAACCACAAGTGTTTAGGGATTTTTTATGGGTGCATGTAACAATACAACCTTTTTTATTAGAGTTACAACGAAAATTGAACATTTAGTGAGCGATTCGTAGACTACTTTCCACTTTTTGAAAGTGGAAAATCCTAGAGAATTATCATTTGAATGAGCCACGATATTGGGCATCAAAGTTTGAACAATAAAGTTATTCTTTATCTTAGATCTCAATTGTACTGTATGTAATCAAAAAAATTTGAAATTTACTACGACTTATTTACTTTTACCCCAATATACAACGTATTGTTATAAATGAATAGAGGAAAGGGAATCAAAAGAGGTGGGAACATATGACAGAGCTTCTCCATCCCAAAAAATTTGACTCGTCACTCGCATATACTGAATCGTTATTTTTGCATTTGAACAAAAAACTATGATAAGAATAAAAAATGCTCTTTGAAAACTTTTTCAGATGCGTATAATCTATTACGACGAACCTACATAATTACATAGACATAACTGATCATGGCAGTAAGGAATTCAGCATCGTTTTTCACCCCTTCACTCATATTAATCGATTCCATTAAGGGTCAGGCCAATCTGTAATAGGCATAATTTGTGATAAAGCATAATATACTAATGGCTAGCGTTAAAAATTCAATTATTAAAATGGAAATGTAAATAATCCATTAATGATTATATTATTTTCCGTATAAAACTTCTATAAAACAACGACCACGACTAACCGGTCGAGGGTTCGGGCCACGTAGCTTTTACCCATTAAACCAAAAGCAAAAAGCTTTATATTCTTAATTAAATATGACCAGTCTGTAATTTACTTAAAATTTCTTACCATGCGCTACAATAAGAATAGTAAAGATCAGCAGAAAGGCGAGTACTCCTAAATTTACCATTTTTGATGTTATTCCTAATATGGTCCTACACCATGAATGTGCTTCCAAGTGAAAGCTGAGGAAGCATATATACACAATATAATATGACATGAAATATTTATGGCCAAGAATCTTTAATTTCTTTAAATAATAAAACTTTCTTACCATGCGCTACAATAAGAATAGTAAAGATCAGCAGAAAGGCGAGTACTCCTGAATTTACCATTTTTGATGTTATTCCTAATTTTTTACAGCAAACTGATCGCTGTTTCTATACAAATAAATAAAAAGCACGAAAAACGACTTTCATAGACGTCTAGCAACAATCCGTACGTCGTCGTCTATTTACCTTTGTAAATAAATGCTTGATTTGTGCTAAATGTCCGGTGTAATCGAGCGAAGAACGTGAATTAAATCTTGTTTTCGCATCATAAATACTGCTACACAAACGTTGGAAATGTTATAAAATGCCTTTGGTAACGATTTTCTATAAGAAACGGGAGGTTTTGAGTGGTACGAGTTGTTTGAAGAAGGCAGAGAACGCGTGAAAGATGAACAGGTGCTTTGGTAGATCATCCATCTCGACTGATGAACGAGATGATTCAGTTTTAGTCAGCGATTCGGTGCACGTTGATTGTCATTAAATAATTAGGAAAATTGGTTGACGTGTTGCAGTGACATTTGGATCTTGACGATCAATTCTAAAAGATCGTTTGGATTTGCTTCGATCCGTCCCTTAATTAAACGTTGAATTTTTTCTGAAGACAACAACGTGTCCGAGTGGACAAGAAAATGTTTCGTCGAAGTGAATCGTTCTTAAAATGCATCAGTACGGGTGATTAAGTTGGTATAAGTTCAATTGGAGGGAATTACACGGTACTTTTTAAGGGGACGAAATAAATTTCGATGAATAAATTAAAATCTTGCATTTTATTAAACCATTCTTGATATCTTCTGATCACAGGGTACAGTTAACGTGTCTTATATACTCTGTACGTTTAATGGAAATTTCAGTTTTAAGATTATTTTTACGTAATCCTCCATGGAAAAGTAGAAAATTTATAAAACTGTGTTTTAAAATATATATATAATTATATTTTAAATTTCTTGTTTATTTATTAAATATACATTAAATGATGTTTATATTACCCGAAGACATTATCAATTCTATCATAGAGATTTTGATTGTTGGTGGTCAATATATCTATTAATTAACACGATAGAAGATTAATATGAATAACTATTGCTTTGTTTAACGCAAATCTAAGTTGTGTATAATACGAAAAGTCTTTACACTTCGACCTCAATAGTCTGAAATACAACTAACGTTCACACTCGAACCTCAATAGTGATGAATTCTAGTATCCTTTACAGTTAAATCTTGGTTGAATTGTATTGTTTTTCTACATCAATGCACATAACTTATAGTGTGATAATATAGAGATTATAAATTAATAAAATTTAATAAATTGGATAAATTTTACATAGTAATTCTTGAATTTCAGTAATAATTAATGATATATGTCACGTATAAAAATATATATTTTGTTTCTCCTTTGTACAGTGATTAAAATTTATATAATTTTCATATTATCTACGACTATTTCAGAGAAATGTTTTATTATTTAAAGTAATTAAAGATGGTTGACCATAAATATTCCATGTCATATTTCATTGTATATATATATATATATATATATATATGCTTCCACAGCCTTCACTTGGAAGCACATTAATGGTGTAGGACCATATTAGGAATAACATCAAATATGGTAAATTCAAGAGTATTGGCATTTCTGCTGATCTGTAGTATTATTGTTGTAGCGCATGGTAAGAAATTCTAAGTAAATTTTAAGTAAATTACAGACTGGGTATATTTAATTAAAAATATTAAGGTTTTTGTGGTTTCATGGAATGTGGCAACCAACACGAGAGCGATTTTCCATGTGGGATGCCTCCCGGAAAAACTTTCTGCAACAAATTGGCCCCTATTTAGGTGTTACACGAGGGAAGAAAACCCGGAAAACTCCACGTGGCAATCTCTTTCTCCAGGCCAGAACCCATTATCTTGGTTCAAGTTGGAGTTCGGTTCGTCTCTTGCCAACACTCTAGGCAAGCGGAGGTTTCAGGGGTTTGCTTAAGATTTGTAAGACGTAAACAGGGGCCAGATTCTAATTAAAGTTTTTTCTGGGAGACGTCTTCGCGGCAGTTTTTCTAAATAAACCAA